GAATAGATAAAGCTGAGCGCATCTCTTTCCTTGACGGGATAAACCCCTTTTTAAAAGACAGTTCCAGAAAAATCGGTAATATTTAAATGTTCTAGAGAAAACAGGACCTTGCTGTGAAAACAGTAGTAAACTGAGTTTTATGAGTTTCTATCACAAGCATATAAAATGCTTTACTGAAGCGACCACTGAACTGGAAAAACTCAGGAAAAATTACCCTGAATTCCATGTGAACACTCATAAATCTACGCCCTCCCCGCCCCCCCCGCCTTCTCTCTCCCCAAAGCACAGTCTGCATAAAATCCATGTTCAACATCAGTTTTCCTCTTGCTTTCATGGCAACTCACAATACCACGTGCAGCCCAGCAAGCATGGACAGAAAAATCTCCCTTTGTGAAGTTCTTGTTAGTGGAAGAGTGTTACTGTAGAAGCAGAGTCCAGGCTATCAGGCAAAATCTCAGAACAAAGCTGACTGTTGCAAAGATATACTGGTCATTAATCCCAAAGGAAAAAGAAAGTAAAACCGGGAAATGCAGCATGAAGAAAAGCTCAGCAGGATGGCCTAAGAAGATGATTTTGCAGTTTTGGATTATTTCATACACAAAAGCAGACGCTTAAACAGAATCATTGACAAGTTGGGTAACACGGTCAAGATCTGCCAACGCTTACTTTTATATTTTGGTTGTATATAAAATTAGGTAATACCTACCTGTGACAAGCCCAAATGCACAGAAGCTGTTTCCGATATATACATGATTTTGCCATCAGATGCTACCACGAAAACAAATCCATCCAAAGTCTACAAAAGAGAGTGCCAAGGGAAGAGGTGATAGTTAATACAGTAGACTGAAAACTCATAATCGTACTGTCACTGAGGTGGAGGAATGTATAAAATATTATCATCCATACATAGTTGTTAAATGCAAAATGAGCCCAGGGCCATAAGAAGGATTCCAGGTTATAACACTGAAGGTTTAATTCCTGGGGCCAGGCTCTCAAATGCTTTTAAAGCACTTTAAAAACAATCTTATATCCACATCACAAAAATCATGCAAAACACTTGAGAACTCCTAAAATGCTCAGTTTAAATGCAGTAGTTTTATTGTTTAGGGTTATTTTAGCACTTAGCACAAATCCGGAGTTCTATGGTACTTAGGGGGAAACCTACCACTATATAGACCATTTTATGTCATAATTGGCAGTCCTTTATACCACTAGGACATGTGCTTTATTTGCCACAATTTTCTAGTTACCCCTAAGTACCATTTGAATAATAAATTCCGAACACTACCGCTCCCCTGAAAATAAAATACCCGGTTATTTTAACAGACTATGTCTACAGAATTAACTACTTAGAATTTGCAAGAGATCAAGTAACCTTTGCAAAATTCAAGGAGAAAAAGTATCAATCTCTGAAAAATTAAGACTACCTAAATGATACTGCCTAAGTTGGCTAGCCCTCAAAAAAATAAAGTAAAATTTTAGGAGTTAATTAAGACAAATAAAAAGGTAATGATTATATTTATATGTGGCAAGGATAAAAAGACTAAATTATTTTTAAAAAAGGAAACTGCATTTTTATTTACCCATTCATATTTTAGATCCAGAACCAAAGAAAAGCAATAAAGTTGGTGAAAGATCCATACAACCCACAATGCTGCCCCCATAAAAAATATTCCAAATTAATTTCTGGCCACAAATTCTATTTTTACAGCATGTAATTGAAACCAGATTACCTTTGGTTTTTCTAAATCTGCCCCCTCTTTGGAGGGGGGCCTACAAAGAATGTAGTAGAAATGAAACTTGAAAGATATCCTTACATTCTGCCGTCTCAAACACAGTTTTACTGTAAAAATCCTTTGCCAACTAAACTATCATCACCCTAACCTACACTGAGGTTGAAATCAACATCTTGATTATAAGCCTTACTTTCTCGTTTCTAACTCAGCTACAAAATATTTTCCCAACTAAATTCCGTTTCAGAAATATAAACTATACAGCAATTTCTAAAGTTATAAACGTTTTGGCTCATTTTAAACTTTTGCTTAACTCCAAAATCATTAAAGAGATACATTTATTGAAACAGTATCTGACAGCCATACGAGAAAAAAAGAAAAAAAATTATCATAATTAAATTCTGAAAGTTGCCAGCAGTAGCTAAAAAAATAATATCATTAATGGAAATTGTTGGGTACATCTTCCTAGCTTCCAATGACCTAATTCGCTTGAATGTATATTAACAGTAAACAAGCCCGTCGGCACAGCATTCCAGAATTAAAGAAATGCACAGTGGAGGAACCTATGCCTGCCAGGTTTTCACTGAGTTGTCCCTGATGTTAGGGTCACTTATAATATGTAGGAGTATCAAACAAGCAAAACACCACGCACGGAGCTGGAAGTGAGTGAGGGGGTGAGCGCAGGGCGCAGGAAGGATTCCAAGAGTGCCATTTCCCCGCCTGGCTACCACATCGTTCGCTTTCTGCTGTAAAAGCTTCAGGTATCAAATATTCTCCGGGATCTTCTCTTCCCCGGAGCATGCATTAAAAAAAAAAAAAAGGAAAAAAATCATACTAGGACATTTGGGGAAAGGGGTTTTGAAAAGATCCGCTTTTTTCGAAATGCGGTGCTCTTGGCTGACTCGCTGACCCAAGTCATTGCGCACTGCCGCCAACCTATTTTTTTTCTTTTAAAGAAAACACAAAATAGAAGGAGGAAATGCAAAACAGCTCTTGGTAAGCATTTTTCGATGGCAGAGACAAATGACAGGTGAGGGTAATGAATCGGGTCATTGATGAGGCTCTGTAAAGGGCATTTGAAAGATTCGGAGACAAGAGGCGTTGCTGTCCCCACCTAGCGCCAGCCGCTGACTTGGAAATGGCTGGTCGTGCGCACGCTTAGCTGGCCAGAGCCACAGACACTGCGGGCCAAAGCCCAGGCCAGGATTGGTTTATCAACCCTGGACTAAATGACTCTGAGCTGAGGGCTATAAGCGGCTGACCACAAACCAAGCAAGGGCTCCCTCCGTGAGCCGGGTGACCCCGGAGGCCGCACCAGGTCCCAACCTGAAGCACTCAAGACCTGGAGGACTTGGGTTGAACCTGGCTCCAGCACTTGCTGTGTGACCTCAGGCATGTTGCTTAACCTCTCTGTGCCTCAATTTCCTCCTTTGAAAAAATGGAGTTCAAAATAGAACCTACTCTAGGTGGGTGATGACGCACCCTGATACAGTAAGATTTAAAACAGAATCTGGTCCGTAGTAAACTCTCAATAAATGCTAACGTTAATATTCTATTATAGATACTGTCTTTCTTTTCTTGCACCCCCTCCAAACATACACGATTGTCAAAGGCTTTAGGACTGCCACACTCTGGCTCAGAGCCTCCCCCGGATCATTCCTTCTTTGGCTCAAGCGCCTGGCACAGCATCTATAACTGAGCAATCGCTCGACAAAAGTTCCCTAAGGGAAGTAAGGTTGGAAAGAACCGCGTGTCCACTGGCGACCGTAGGCCTAGGTCTGGTGAGCTGGTGAGTACTGGGGCTGGGACACGGCGAGATGCTGGATGGGGGTGGGGCTGGCCAGAGGTTACTCTGAGCTGTGTCCCCTCCAGTCCCGGCCTCCAAAGAGGATGCACGGAGGGAGGGTGGGGAGGTAGACAATTGCCTCCAGGTCCAGCAGCTGTCTCTGGCCTCGGCGACTTCTGCAGCCTGATGGTGTCCTATGGATCCATCCGGGGCTCCTTGGGGAGGGACATCTCGAGACTGGAGTGGCGGGTCAGAAGGGAGCCCCCACGCGGGCGCGGGACAGCGCCTTAGGCAGTGGCTGCGCTCCTCCCCCCCTCAAAGGAGCCTTACCTGAAGCAAGTGCGATCCCAGCTCCTTGGCGACGCTGTCCAGGGGCCCCGCGCGGCTTGGCTGTCCCCACGCGTCTCCTAAACCTGGACCGGGGAATAAAGCAAATCAGTACATGGCAGCGCCGATCGAGAGGCCCCACGCCCCGCAGAGCGCGCGGAAACCTCCGCACCGCGCGCCCTGGTGGGTCGGAATCCCGAGCGTCCCGCCTGCCGCCTCCTGGGCCCCGCAGGCCGCTGTCTGTGTTCTTGCCATCGCCCCTTTGCCCTGGATTAAAGAGAAAAAAAGGCCAGAGGAGATATTCCCGCCGAGGCCTCGGGTCCAAGCGCCCCCAGTGCGCGCTGAGCTCGCCAGGCCCATAGCTCCCGTGGGTCGCCCACGTGCTCACGGCTCCGAAATTGCCGTTTTATTTGAAATGCCATAAAGTAATCTAATCTGCTTTGAAACCTGCCATCCTCGAAGCCAAACGGGGATATCGATTTGACCTGTAAATACTCCCCCAACGACCCTCCCTCACTCCCTCCCTTCACTGTGTCGCCGGCAACTATGCATTTTCCTAAAGATAAGCCCAGACGAAATGTCCTAGCCGTCCAGGAGGCAGCTTTTTCTGCATTAAAAAAAAGTTTTTGTTTTTTGTTTTTTGTTTTTTAAAACCTCACGTAATCCCTCGGACTCCCCAGCCCTCACAGGCGCCTCGGGAGCGCGGTCCCTCTTCCGATCCTAGTGCTCCAGCTTGGGAAGGGTTTACCTAGAGCCTTCCCCAGAACAAGCTCCTAAAGCACCCGAGGCGGGGAGGGGGAGGGGCCGAAGGCGGTGGGAGTCTTGTAGGTAGTCGACGATAACTGGAAGGTATCAGTTGCCACATAATTAGGGTTCCCCAGTTCTTAACTGCCCCCCCAAAGACCTCCTGCTTCTCCCCCACCACCTCCCTGAAGCTCGCAAGTGTTTCAGAAAGCGCACCAGGGGAAAGGTGGCCCCGCTCAGCGAACCCTCCTCTCCTGTGTCCCCGGCTCTGCTGCGTGACCCCAGAAATCCCAGGCTTTCTTCTGCGTATTCGGGAGAAAGTAGAAAAGCCGGGTGAGGTTTCGGCACTAAGTGCCAGGTGGGAGAACCCTCAGCGGCTACCTGGAGTCCTTCTGCTGCGGGCGGGCCAGCAACTGTCCAGTTAGCGCCACCGCCCAGGCGCGACGTGGAGAAGGCCTGCAACTGCGGTCCTCAGCCTGTGCCCCATCGCCTCCAGTGGAGAAGGCAGCCCCAGGCTCCAGGCCCACTCGTGCACCGGCTGCGACCCCTGCGGGGTGAGCTGTGGGTCCAGCTCCCTTCCTGCAGGCCAGACCGGCCCCTGCCCGCTGCGCTCAGGGAGTGCGGCACGCGAAGCCAGAGCGGGTCCCGCGGGATGGGGAAACTCGCGTAGTCTCAGCGAATTTGGGGACCATTCCCGGGACCACAAAACTCCCCCAAGCGGACTGTGGCGAGTGGGTGGCCTGGAAAGTTCCCGCGTAGGCACTCTGGGTCTCCCCGCGCTGTCCCCGCAGGTGTCAGGAAGCACAACTTCTGGAGGCCTCCACCCCAAGCGCGAGGGAGGCGCCTGGCTCCAGAGCCCCTCGGGGCCCAGGCCGCCCCGAGAGGCTTTGGAGACCCTTCCCTGCAAACTCTGTTCAGCAAAAAAGGGATGACCTTTAATTTCTCCTCCTAAACTGTAGGAATTAGGGGCTTATCCTGGTCTCCCCGTAAGGAAGTGACTAAATTCCACATATCCTGATCCCCCAAACAGGATCACAGCCCCTCAACCTCCACAGAGGTGTCTTCTTAACCCCAGGAAATTACTGTCTGCCCAATTTCACTTCCAAGGATGACCACAGTGACCATAGTAGGGCACCAATGGCTCTCACCAGCAGGTCCTCCCTCAGCCCCCATCTGTGCAGGATGGCTTGGTGGGGTCAACGTTTACTCCATTAAGGAGAAATGGAAAGAACCAACATTTAAAAACGCTGGGACTTGAATGAAAAAGAATTTAATAAAGACCCAGGAATCCTGATTTCTGAAAATGGACAACCGTGCCCTGGTAACTGTCCTTTACCCAACTCCCGGGTCCTTTCCCTGGTTTGCACCACACTAGCCTTGCCTGGCTCAGCAGGAAAAGTGAACTTGGCCTTCCAGATTAGGCTTCTTGCAGCGTCCACAGCCAGGTGACCTGGGGAAATCTGCACCTCTGGGAAAGGTGCAGACCCAAACCAGACTTCCCTGCCCAGCTCTCCCAAAAGCCTTGTGGAAGGCTCTGGCCCTACATCCAAAAGTGCACTGGATACACAGGACAATTTTTCATATAATTCAAATACCCGGATACTTCAAAAGCGCCTGTTCTCTTATATCATTATAATTTTTCCCATAATTTCCTGACACCTCTGCTTTGCTGGTAGATCTTCCAGCCCCGCATCGGGGCTCCCTGCTCCGCGGGAAGCCTGCTTCTCCCTCTCCCACTCCCCCTGCTTGCGTTCCCTCTCTCGCTGTGTCTCTCTCTGTCAAATAAATAAATAAAATCTTAAAAAAGAAAGAAACCTCTGTGGGTGAGACCTTTTCACTCCACCCATAAAAATCTACTTTGGGCTAAACGCAGAGACTAAATAAGGTAAGGTTTGTAACAAGAACAAAAAATGGTCTTGGTACTTGTAAAGCCATATGTATCCCCCCCAAAAGTGAGGCGCCGGGCATGTGGCCCTTATCTGGACCTACCAAAGGGCTTTATTTGTTTGAGAAATGAGGGGAGACAGGTAAGACTGAGCTAAGCTCCTCCAAGGTTATCAGTGACCTCATCTGATCCTGGGAGCACCCACCTTCCACTGACTGTGGGGGGAGCAGCCAGAGGGCGGGGAGCACCCCAAGCCTGGCCTGTGGTTCCCCTGCCAAGGTTTGCTATCCTAATTGCTCTACATGTGTCAGCAGGGAAATCCACTGGGGACTCCCTTCTACTGGGAATCCAGATGGCCAGGTCATGGGGGGAGGAGGCCAGCCACTGGGTCAGAAGAGAAAGGGAGCCAGGAATCCCCGTTCCCCCTCTGCCTCTGAGGGTTTGTGGGTACCTGCACCTTAGTATCCACACTTGGCTATTTGGCTGACTGGCTGTTTGGTTTAAACCTTACCAGGCTCTCCCGCCACTGAAGCTATCTAAATATGGTCCCGCCTCTCTGGGTGCTCAGTTAGTCAGTCAACAAACAGCTGTTGAGCACCTGCTGTGCAACCCCAGAGAAAGGGTCTGGAGTTTGATAAGAACTCCTGGGATGGACAGCGGTTTCTGGAAGGCAGCCTTGGGTATCTGACATGGTGACAAGAACACTCCTCGCAGGGATCTTGTGAAAACTAAACGGGGTTAATAGGGGACCATCTGACCCTGCCACCACCGGTCCATGGAGAACTGGATCTGGGATTGAGAAAAATCCAGGACAGACCTTTCTGGAGCTCCCAGGGGACACAGGGGGATCTCACCTCCTTCTGCCCCCACTCCCCAGCTGGGCCGGTCTGGATGGTCTGATCTCCAGCAAGTGCCCTGACCTCTAACCTTTATTTCTCAACTCTAAAGTGGGGGGTTTTGTAGGATTAAATGAACTAAACCAGAGGGTGCTGAGCAAAGCGCTGGGTCCCCTGGAAGGCGGTGGTGCTGCAACCCACCGCCTTGGTCCAGCCTTCTCTTGCCTTCCCACTCCTTCCACGCCTACTAGCCCCTTGCGGGGGGTGGGGGGGAAGGAAGCGTATTATTGGGGAGCGTGGCCTCTTGAGACTCGTGGGCCATCTGAGGACACAAGGTCACACTGGCTGACTGCAGACTACTCCAAAGTCAAGAAGGGTGTGCGGGGGCGGGGGCTGAGCTGGGGGCTAAGGGCCGGCTAAGCCCCCACCCCAACGCAAGGGAGCTGGCGCGGAAGGCCGGTCGGCCCGCGGGTATTTACAACCCGGCTTTCGGAGCATTACCGGCCGCGGGGGCGGCAGGCTCAGGGGCTCGGGTCCAGGGCTACCGGGCGTCGCTCGCCCGGGCGAGGTTGTAACGCGGCGCTGGGGGCCGGGCTGCCGCCTCGCCACTCTAGGGGAGCCCAGAGCTGGCGCTCCTTCCTCGCTCAACTCCAGGACCCCGTAAACGCTCACGGTTCTGGGGTTCCTCCAAGCACTTCAGCTTCCAGCCTTGGAATGCTTCGTTCTGTCCAGGGTCCCCGAGAAGCCCGGCCTTTGGGCCCTTTTCCAAACCCACGGTAGCACAGCGGGCGGGGACCAGGGTGTGAAGGGGGGTTGTGGGGACGCCCCAAGAAGGCCTCCCCGGGCCCGGCCGAGCGGGGAAGGGAGGGTGCTTCCAGCCTGGCCTCGCCTGGCCACCGGCCAGAGTACGTGCTCAGACAACAGACGCAAGCCCCCTCCGCCCAACCCCGCGCCTAACGCTGAGACCTCGGAGGCTGGGACCGAGGCCCGGCCCCGCGGCCCGCACGGAGGAGCGCGCGGGGCCCGGCGCCGCCCGGAGCGGCTTCTCCGCCGCGCCTCCGAGCGCCCCGGCCGCCGCCTGAGTTCTGGCCCCCCGGGGCTGAATCTGCGGCTCGCGCGCGCTCGGGTTCCTGCCTCGAACAGCCGGGGTCCCCGCACCCCGGAGTTCCCTTCGCCGCTGCCCACAGCTCACAGCATGCTGCTCGGCGACTGTGAGCTTTCCCTCCCGGAGCGATGCGGAGAGGGTTGTAAAGCTCCACATTATTCTAAAAAATAAGTTTGTTTGCTTTCTTTTTTTAAATCTACATTATTTCGAGCTTCGGTAGAGAAAGGGCTCAGATCTGTCTAGGTTTAGGGCGGGTTTCTTCTCACCAAACCGTCTAAATCAAAGCGTTTCCATTCCCGACAACAATTTCTAGCCGTCTGCCTGAATCTAAACCCAGGCAAATTCCGCCACTGGAATGACTCCGGCCTCAAACCCCCGTTATTGCTGTGTGAGAATGACAGTGTTGCACTCCCTTCCCCTGCTTTCGGCCGCACCTGTCCAGAGTCTTCAGGTCTGGCAAAGGAGGAGGAGGGTCTGTGTTCTCCTTGGGGGAGTCAGCCTCAGTTTCCAGTTCCATTCCTCAGCTGGGACGACGGGCCAGTCCCTCCTGTCAGCTGTCTGTGTGCAAGGGTCCAAAGGGACACCGTCCCCTACCCCTCGGCTGGGGGTCAAATCCGACTCCGGAATCCTGGCTCCTAAGAAGGAGCCTAAGCCACCGGATTGGCCTTGTGTTCCTGCCGCTCTGACTCGGGCTTCCTGAGGCCCAGTGAACATCACCTGAGGGAGGAACTTGTCTTGCCTGGCACAGTCACCAAGCAGTTATGGCCAGAGAGCAGCAGAGTTCGCCCACCCGGTGCCTCTGTGTTTCCAAAGAAACACAAGAAAGGCCACAGAGCAAAGAGGACAGGCAGATCATGGGCCCCAGCCCTTCCCTGAGCCCTGTGTGCACCAGGCCTTCCCAGCCACCAGTGAATGCACTGAGTTTTGGGGTTCTGAATCTACTTCCAAAGCCGGCCTTGTTTTCCTGCCCTCTTCCCTGGCTCCCTCCCATTTCTTAGCTGTTACATGGGGGGGGGGGAGGCAGAAAATAGCAGGTCTTCCAACTGCAGTGAATCCCAGAGGCACACGGAGTGGGGGCACTCTGCCATCTAAGCCATGCCTGGCTCAGGAAACACTCGCGCTCCCAGGACTAAGTGACTGGAGTAAGAACACATTAGATTTCCGCCTCCTCACCCTTAATCCCAGGAACCTTGTACAGCTATGGAGTTCTTAATAGGCCCATTTTGCAGACAAGGGGGGGGTGTCTAGTGGGGCAGCTTAACAGGGCACAACTTTGAACGGGCTATAAAAATTGCCAGCACCGCCAATGCCAGTCTGACCTCCATGGGGAGTGTCCACCCTGGCTCCTATGCCTCTTTCTGCCCCCTGGGGGGCGGGGGACTCCTCCGAGCTCCCCTATCTTTCCGCTGACCCAGGTGGTTTCAGGATGAAAGGAGCCATGGGCAGCGAGAGGACAGGCAGCGGCCAGCGGACACAGCAGCGACCTCCTGCTCTTGCCTTTGCTGTAGGAGCCTGGAAAGGGCCCATCCCTCTCTGGCCTCAATTTCCTCAGGGACTGAGGGTTAGTTGGGGATGCCTGTGGTTCCTTTGGACTGTGCTATTCATTTTCTGACTCCCAAAGTCCTAACTTGGCCTTGGCCTCTAGACCCTTCTTCACCCAGGGATCCCTCTTGCTCCGGGACTATGGAACAGCGGGACCGAGCTCAAGATACCGGTTTCACTTGGCATCTTTCAGCCCGAAGCCAGCCGAGAGTCGGAGCAGATCCAGGAGGTCCTGCCACCATGCAGGCCTGCACTGGCCCTAAACCTCCCTGATGCTGACACCCGGAGCCAGGCGGCCCCACCAGGCCCTACTCCATTCCCCCGGCGCACACCCAGGCGCGAGAACAGAGACTAAAATCAGTTACAGCGCATGCCGCCCTCTGGAGCTACCGGAATGGCAAGCGAGTTATTTTGCATAATTGAGGTCTCTCTCTAAACGCCTCCTTCTCAGCCCAGGCACCCAACTTTACAACTCTGCGCCCCAGAACTGACTTGAGGGGAGCAGCGCCACCGCCCAGAGCTGCAGGCCCCAGGCCTCTGAATGAAGTGAGGAATCCTGGGCCTCCCGGTCCACCCATGTAGGCAAAGCGCCCCCCTCCCTGCTCAGGCCCTGTGGGAAGGGGGGCCGGGGGGGGGCAGCCGGTCCGGACCACTGCCTTCTCCCCTTCCCCAATCAATCTAGACCCCAGAGGTTCAGGGCCATTTCCAAAACTCTAGGGCCAAACAATTATCTCCGGGCCCCTCCCTGAGTTCCAACTGCGACAGTCACCCCCAAGAGGCATCCAGGCCACCCCTCAACGGAACCATACTACCCAACAAAGCACAAGGGCCTGGTGCTCGAGTCCTGGACCATCTATGCAAGCCCACCTCTGCAAAGGGCTCAGGGCCACATAATTCTGGGCTCAAAGGCCTTGGAGACTTACTTCCCCGATTCAATTCTTAAAAATCTGCAGAAGCAGTACACCCACCACTTCCCAATTTTTAGCAGGCTTTCCTGGAAATTCTCCAAACAATAAATGGCTTACAATTAGCCCTCTTTCTCCAGGCCTCCCTTTCTAATTTCTGGCTTACTTGAAATCATCGGTAACAAATCATTTAATATTCCAGTCCTGGCTTCTAATGTGTTTATTTCCAGCGGGGACGTGAGAGGAGGCCAGGGTCCTGTCCTGGTTCCCCACCTGCTTGCAGCATGCAAATTAAGAAACAGCTCACTGGGGTGGGGGGGATAGATAAATTTTAAAAAGAAAGAAAGAAAGAAAGAAGAAAGAAAGAAAGAAAGAAAGAAAGAAAGAAAGAAAGA